TGTAAATCTAACTGTGTGAATAAGCTAATGTCTGAAATGTATCCCATCTTGGTCAATATTAAGTTTTAGGCCCATTTGGTGGACTGGAACTCAGAATGCTTTTCCTTTTCTCCATGCAAGGCTAGTGTTGCCCTATTTATCCTCCACTCTTTTCCTAATTGCTGCATCATCCTAGAACTCAAAAGCCTTTCTTAGGGTGTAATCCAGTGGTTTTCATCCAGTGTGCCGTGGCCCCTGGGTGCCTTGAATGGTGGTCAGGGGTGCCGGGGGCAACTCTGTCCCTCTTTCCTTCCCTCCCTCCTCGGATGCCGTCTCTGCCTCCCCAAGGCTTGCCCAGCTGTTTGTTTCACCAGCCCTGGCTACAAGCTCCGCAGGCGAATGGTGCCTCTGGGGCTGGCCAGGGGGTGCTGGTTGCCAGGAGCTGAGGCGGCCTCAGAGTAAGCAAGCAAGTGGGAGCCCAGCCAGCCAGTCCACCAGCCCCTGCTGTTGGGAATGGACAGACAAGTCCCAGGCCCCTGTGGGGAAGTGTGAGGAGGAACCTCTCTTTGGGGTGGGGGGCAGCTCAGAGGAGGGAACCCTCCACAAAGGAGGGTGTTCAAGAAAGAGTGAGAGGCTGCCAGCTCTGCAGGCAAGGGGGGACATAACTGGGCTCCTGAGCCTCCCAGGGGAGCTGCAGAAAGAATGTAGTTGGTTAAGGGAGCCATGGACTCAAAAAGGTTGAAAACTGTTGGTGTAATCCAATTTTGCACTATGATGAGTTACCCATCTGCTCTGTACAAGCATTGCAGCTTCCCGGAGGGAGCAACCCCCATCTCCTCCTCCCCAGGTCCTGTTCTGGGGTCCCCCCAAGCCAATTTCCAGGGGTGCATAGGGAAAAGTCCTTGCATGGCGCTTCTGTTGACAGTGCTTGTTAGGTGAATTGCACCCTCAAAGTTTAAGCAATGGACTATGACATTCTAAGATTCTGCTCAGTGCTATTTTTCTAGAAAAAAGAGGTGCCAGAACTTGCCATGAATGCCTCCCTTGTTCTCTTAGAATGGCAATGGTGCCCACCTGAGAGGGGCCAGAACTGAGTTCCAGTGAGTTCTGGCTGAAAAAAAGGTACAGTGGTGCCCCGCAAGACGAATGCCTCGCAAGACGAAAAACTCGCTAGACGAAAGGGTTTTCCGTTTTTTGAGTCGTTCCGCAAGACGAATTTCCCTATGGGCTTGCTTCGCAAGACAAAATGTCTTGCGAGTTCTTGCGAATTTGTTTCCTTTTTCTTAAAGCCGCTAAGCCGTTAATAGCCGCTAAGCTGTTAATAGCCGCTAAGCCGCTAATAGCCGTGCTTCGCAAGACGAAAAAACCGCAAGGCGAAGAGACTTGCGGAACAGATTAATTTCGTCTTGCGAGGCACCACTGTATTGATTTTGCTGTACTCGAAAGTGTACAGGAGTGGTTCTCAAACTTTTTCTCTGGGTCACTTTTTCAGAATAAAAAATCACTTGTGCCACACCAAATTTTTTATTGATAAGAAATACACTAGAAAACAATAAGAAACACCTCCTAGCAGGGCTTGATTTATAACATAGAACACGACAACTTTATAATATGATAATGGGACATAAAGAAAGTACAAAATAATGCAGCTACATAAGAACATGAACCATTCCCAAAATATGATTAGAAACGAGCCTCTTACATATGTACCTTAAGTATGTATACAAGCTCAGTAAGAGGTGTGAACTTGCTTTTGCCAGGTAATCACATTTATTTTATGTCTAATTTGAGACCAATTCTCATCTCATCACAAAAAAGCCTTGGTCTTGCTCTTATTATGAAAAGATATCTATCCATAGTCTGGAAAAAAAATATTTTGATACTATATTATACTACACTGAAATGTTTAAATATTTCTTTGATTGTCCTTGAATTTTCCCGGCACTCTTGCCATCCTCTCCCGCCACACCAACTTATGTAGAGTATGAATATCCAACACAGAGCCCTCCTAGATGTTGTGAGGGTCGACTTCCATCAGCCCCAGCGAGCTGAACCAAGAGGACACAATCTCAAAGCCTTGTAAGTGAGACACTGGGCTTTGGCAAGGAGGTATGAGGCTCCGACAGGGTCCTAGAGTTCTCCTGCGTCCTCTCCAAAGCCTGCTTAGCATTTTTCCAGCTTTGGGAAAGAGATGGGAGGACGCTAGGACCCTGTAGAGCCCTCAGGGCCTCCTTACCTGACAAGTGCCAAATTTTGGCCTCAGGCAGGGCACCATAGTACCAAAGTCCACCACTGATGTAACCATAGGGAACAGGTGTGCCACCAACATTGCTGTTGTAAACTCCAGTTTTCGCAGATCATTTTAACTTCTGTATTTTCAGCTCTTGGGAGTACACTGGGTACATTTCACACAGCTGTATATAGACAGACTTTACCACCATTGGTTGTTTGTTATCCTTTGCTTTATAAATCATCCATTGATTTAAAAAAACCGCATTCCAGTTCAACAAAAGCGGGGGAAATCTCTCTCTTTAACAGCACTGCAGCCATTTAGTTGTCATTTCCTCTTCTGCATCTGCCGATCTGGCCTGTGAACCTACATACTGTCAACTTCCATTAAAGCTTTAGATTGTGAATCTCTTCACTGAACAAGTACACACATTTCCTATACCTCATTTAAATAAACAATAGATTATCAGTTGGAAATATAGAATAGGACAACAAATATTCATATGGTCCTCTGTTTATTTAAACACATCTTTCATTGATTTCACCAGAGATGGAAAGCTCTTAAGAATCTGATTCATTTGTTGTAAGGGGAGAGTTCCTCCAGTGCAAAAGTTCTTCACACCAGCTTAACACTGATGTGGCAGATCCATGATCATCATAAAACAGAGCTGAACAGAAAATAGAGACCCCTCTTTTCTCTTGAATGCAAAACTTTAGATACTGCTTTGCATGAGTCAAGGAAGCTAACCCCTTAATACAAAAATGAATCATAAAAGTAAAAATGAAAGGCTGTTTTTGACTTCTGTGGTAGTTAAAAATGGCATGAAGATCAAATGCTTAAAGACAAAATGTTCTGTTTCCTATCAGTTGTCTTTGCTTGAACAAGCACAGCTATTAAAAGAGGAACAGCAGCATTTTATATATGCAGACAAACCCAGTGTGGTTGGACTAAGTATTTTATATTACAGTACAGGCACTGAAATCCACATTTCTCCATACTTTTCAAATTACTTTTCTAATTTATATTTTTGCAAACAGTATACTTCCACCTCCTTGCAAGCAGTATAGTATATATGCAAAATCCCCCATACAGTGGTACCTTGGATTAAGAACTTAATTCGTTCCGGAGGTCTGTTCTTAACCTGAAACTGTTCTTAACCTGAGGTACCACTTTAGCTAATGGGGCCTCCCGCTGTCATGCAACTTCTGTTCTCATCCTGAAGCAAAGTTCTTAACCCGAGGTACTATTTCTGGGTTAGCAGTCTGTAACCTCAAGTGTCTGTAACCTGAAGCATCTGTAACCCGAGGTACCACTGTATTTATACCAAACACTCTTTAAAAAGATTCCACCACCCTGTTTGTTAGCTTTAAAACCACTGCAGAATCTTGATGAATGTGGCAGATGCAAGTTGCAGAATTACACACATGTTCCATATAACTTGGTGTGTAAAAGGATACACTTCCCCAAGTATAGAACTCCAATTAAGATTCATAGTCTCACTGCTGCCTAACAGACTCTAGGTTGAAATAGCTGACTAATATAATGAGATACTTAATTATTTGAATTAGCAATTAGCATCATGTTGGGGATATTATATTTATTTTAAATACAGTAACAACACTCAGATAAGAGAAGCCATTTTTGGTATTTTCTCTCACAATATAGGAATCTAGAATCTAATTTATCATAGCTGGACATCACAGTCAAAATGGCTTAAAAATAACATGCTCAACTTCCTTTGGTATTGCAGAAGATCCATATGGAAAAGATATACTGGTACAGGTTTAGTGTCAGAGCACCAGTGTCAATTGCCTTTAGTTTTTATTCTCAGTGGCACAACCACAGTATGCTTACCAGGTCCAAGGAAACAATCACCAGTTTTAAAGAAAACCTTTCTTCCCATTTGAAAGTTCCATTTTCAGCAAGTGAAACATACAGCTGGGCTGGTGATTAACTGAAGTTTTACTTAAAACTGTGCAAGATGCAGCAGAGATCTCCTTATGACCCTGAAGTTAAAGTTTCACGGTTTTCAATAAAGCTCTTGTTCTCATGTGTGCTGTGAGAATGATGGTTGGTACACAGCAAGTGGGTGGTACAGGACAAGTGCTATGCCGTGTTGCAAACCCTGCCCAGTTTTTGCTCTGGCTCCACCTACTAGCAACATATGACCCCTAACAAATGCTGTCCCCAAGGGAATACAGCCCTCAACCCCACTGAAAATAGCAAGAGCAGGGCCAGCCCAAGACCTGAGGCAAACCCCAAAATGGGGGCCTCCTCCCCACCAGGAAAGACAAGGTGAGTGAAGATCAACATCAGGAACAAGGGAGTTAAAGAACTATCAGCATTGCAATCTGCTGCCCCTGGGGACCCTGCCGCCTGAGGCGGTTACCGCACCTTACTGGGGGGGGGGTTAGCTGGTCCTGAGTGAGACACACTTCTAAGCAAGCAAGCATAGGATTGCATTGCAAACAACTTGGTCCCCTGCCAAGTTGCATTTTAAAGTTTTGCCTGGCTGTTGCAACGCTACCCTTCTTTCTCTGCTAATGCTGCGCTAAGTGCTCAACATTGCAAATGTCCTATTGATGCCAGAAATGGCATGCATTCGAAAATATATACCAACTATATATCAAGAGCTGTGTGTATATAAGTAAGATTCTAGATGTTATTTGTTCCCATAGTCTATAGCAGAGGAGCCATTTAAATGTAATCACTAATAAAATAGAAACTTTATTTATAATCATCCTAAGACTTTCAACTATAAGGTTACATATAGCATCAAAATAAATTCCTACACATTTCCCCTTCCTTTATTGCACTGTTAAATGTGTTTACGAACACATTACCTTTCAAAAGAAGTTGAGTAACATTATAAAGCACACCAGTTCAGATACATAGGATGACTTGCACCAGAGCCACAATACAAGATAATGTGGTCCTGTGTGCCTATGTATGGCACATATTTGGAGTAGGTAGCTTCTTAGGAACAAGATAAGCAAGACATTTCAACCCAAACAGCTTAAATTAACAACCAAGTGTACTGTGAAGTCAGCATCCAGAGGCGGAGGGGTCAGTATCAGGTTTAAGAGCTAATACACCCAAAAGATTAGGTCTGAAGTTCATTCACAGGCAGAAAGAGCAAGAAAATGGTCGTGAGGTGGTTGTAGAGATGTTATGGCCTGCAGCAGCATTTCCAAACCTAGGCCCTCCAGGCACTTTGGACGACAGCTTCTATCAGCCCCTGCTCACATGGCTGAATGGTTGGCAATGGGAACTGTTGGCTGGTCTGCAGCAAAACTCCTTAAAAATGGCAACTGAGCAAAAGGCACTGGGGGAAACAGATGCAAATGCAGGTTATTTGTAACCAGTTCATAATGAGCACAGTTTGTATGCTCTAAAGAGGAAGGCCAAAGCAACCAGACACCTGTGCCTAAGGTTGATTCTGCAAACAGCCTGGCATCCTGGCCACTCGACTGGGGGCTAGAGTCAGAAAAATGTGACCACACCTCCTCTTTGAGAAAGTGAGCTATGTTATATATAATAGGAATGCTGGTAGGTTTCTAGATCCCATTCTAAACTATAATTTGCTTTCTCCTTTTGTCTTCCATAGAAGATTGCTGATTTTTTTATACCATAGTGGATATAAAAGAGCAGTGCCGAAATATTACTGTTACAGAATTATACATAGTACAGATCAAGTGTTATGGAGCAAGGACACTTGGGAACACCTGAATCTTCAGTGGGGCATTTAAGTCCCCTCTGAATCACACGCACATCTTCAAAGCGACTCCCCAAAGGCCTAGGAAAAGATTCCCAGAGGCTTTAGAATGGTATTAGCTCTGAGAAGGGCTTCAGGCTGTAGGAAATGCAATCCATATTGGAGAAGACAAGGGCATCAAACCCTGCCTAAGATTCTCACACCAGATCTGAGAAGTGAGCCTATGTAAATCATACCATGCCAACATCTGCCTCACTGACCTCGCAGAGGTTTTTGAAAAAAGGAAAGAAAAAAGAAAATAGGTTACACCAGCAACAATTCTGAATGTCAGGTTTTGCATTTCACACTCATGCCATTGAAGAAAACTGTTTTAATTTATATTTAAGGTGTTCAGAAAGTCAGGACTAATATTATTACGTTACAATATCACTTGCATGAAATATTCCAAGAATGTATCAAGCAACAAACAGAAGATATTGTATACAATGAAGCATTTATACTAACACAACAAGGCACATTAATATTTCCCTGAGAATATTTTAGCCAGTAGGCTTTTGCTGCATCACTTTTGAACAACTACAAAATGTGTTAAGAATACAGGCCACTATTAAAATTTATGCATAAAAATACATTTTGTGGTTTCTATGAAGTATGCTAATACAAAGCTGCTGGCAGAGTTTTAAAAAGCTTCATGGATTTTCAACAAAAGCAGGATTTAATTATTTGGCTCTAGAGATACTTGAGCAAACTGTAAATGTGAACTCTGCAGAAGTTGTGGCTTTGGAATTTCTCAATTTTCTTTTTATTTGTAAGTATAGTCCTGCTACACAACCCATGTTCTATCCTATGATGCCTGCTCACTCCTGCCCCCTCCCTCCCTCCCTTCTAATTACCATTGCTTCATAATTAATTGGGGGGGGATGCCCTTTGCAGCTGCACCAAAAAATTGAGAACACTGTTTAGATCTCTAATAAGATTCTTAAAGGCAAGGGAAGCTTTAGTCCAGTTTAACTGTTATGAAGTGCTAATGTTGAAAACCTGAGCTCTTTGTTTCCAATAACCATACCAAATGTTCTGCTGTTGTCTATTACAAACAGAATGCATATGATGGGAATCCTTTGGGAACAGCAGAAAACCAAGACAAAGTATGTAGAACAACATAATCATCTAGTAAACATCCTACAAGGCTTGTTAAAAAAGACCAGCAAGGCAGGTGGAATAGAGGCAAAAGGAGCACCGCACACTTCATCTCTTATATTTTTGACATCCTTATCAGAGCGAAAGGGTTTGTACCATGCAGACGGTTGCACTTTAATGACTATGCTGATACAGTGCTTTGTCTCTTAAATACTCCTCCAAGCAGTGAACTGCAAAGGGGTCAAAGTCAGTGTCAAACTTGTTGGCAAAGAAGTGGTGTTTTCGTAGCATCCAGTTCAAGTCTCCCACTCCAAAGACACACACAGAGCGGATGTGAATTCCATTACAAGGTGGGTACGGAGCACCCCGGGACACATCCCCCTCAAAGTAATGCCACTTAACAAACCTGGCAAGAGCATTCATGTCAGAGACATCATATTTGTCGCTGGCAGAGACTGCACCTGGAACCTCGGGAATTCGCTGAATAGTAGCCCACAAGTATTCATCAGGACTGTAAGTATCTTTGGCCCATTCAATAAAAGTAAGGATTTTGTTGTTCTCTAGGACATATTCAACAAACCTCCGGCTAACAACAAAGTAAGCACTGCCAGAGAAAATGGGTGTATTAAGAGGTGGACGTTGTTTGTCTATTCCCATATTCTTCACTTTGCCATCAACAACTTCATAATGCTTCTTCCATCGTGTCTCCTTGTTTGAAGGCATTTTCTCGGTTTCCAAACTATTTTCACCCTTGAGAGCTTTTAGTTTCTCTACTATTTCTTGGTTAGTCTTGATAGGAAAATCCATACCACAAAGATTGATCAGGTATTTCCAGCTTGCGCTCCTCCTGTAGAGATCCTTCATGCAGTTGAGGTCTGCTTGCACTCTACTCCACGAAGCATATACTACACTCTCCAACTGGCTGGCAACAAAAACATTGTCAAAACATGAAGCAATCCCCTTCACTGCAGCCAAGAAAGACTCGGGGGACTTCTTATCAACATGAATGCAGTAATAGTTTTGTGGTGCGTAAATCGATCTCAGAAGTCTATCAAACATGTTAATTTTGTGATAAATTACTATCGAATATGCTATGGGAAACTCAGCTTCTTCTTTGCTCAGAGGCTGCATAATATACTTTCGCCTCTTAATAAAGGAGTTGCAGTCTGTTGTCATGTTGATGTAATCATTTGGAGTTAGTTTCAGGCTCTTTTTAAAAGAAACAGTTAAGAGCTCCAACTTCACTTTCTGAATTTCCTCTGGATCTCCCTGCAATATCTTGGAGCAGTTGATGTTACTATGTGGGTATTCATCAGTTAGCTCCAGGCGCCCATGATGTATGTAGCTTGGCTTTTGATGGATTTTGATAAGGGACAAGGTGCCTGCTGTAAAAATCAACACCAGCAGAAACTTGAAGCGTAGGTTATGACAGTGACGAAGTTTCCTTCTCAGCATTTCAGAGTGTGTTTGGGACCTCCCATGCATCTAAGAGACTTTCTTCATACGCATGATCAGGATCCAGCTTCAGAGCCTTCTGTCTGCATTTCTCAGAAGTTCCTAGAATAGTGAAAGTACACATAAATTCTAATGAAAAACTAAATTCTGCATTTTTTATCTGTGTCACAGATAATCTGTGGAATGTTAAAGGTGCAATGCTTATTCACTAGTAGTTCTGTTGTGTCAATGGCATGTCCAGTCCAGGGCCAGTCTAGGTCAAGGGTAGCCAACCTGGGGCTGTCTAGATACTATGAACTGCAAATCCAATCAGCCCCAGCCATCGTAGCCAATAGACATGGATAATGGGGATTGTAGTCCAAAACAACTGAAGGGAATCGTGTTAGCTATCTTTGGCCTAGGTTGTTGTCTCTCTCTCTCTCTCTCTCTCTCTCTCTCTCTCTCTCAGGCCACTTTACACATTATGCTGGGACCTCTCAGGAACATTTGTCATCTCATAGTCCTAATTAATTTATAGGAAAAACTTAAGGTATGCTACGTCATCTGTTCTGTTTTATATCTGCTAAAATCATAAACATTTTAGTTACAAAATCATTCTAATTATCAATGGCTGAACAACCTTTGGGCTCCTACTGCAAGTTTACAATCTAAAAATTAGAGACAGGAAAAGAGGAAGGTAAGTAAGTAAAAAGCAACAACAACTGATTTGATAAGTTTGTTATTACATTTCTGTTCTGCTTTTCCTCCAAGCCACTCAAGGAAGCATATCAAGTTTGTGTACAGAGCAAGGCAGACAGGTAGTGAGTGGCTCAAGGTCGCTTCGCTTCACGGTTGAAGGGGGAGCTGAACTTGGCTCTTCTTGGTCCTAGTCAGACACTCTAGCCATTATTCTACCTCTGACCCAGAAAATATCACAGGAATTAAGGACAGTAGAAAATAGAAGATTAAGAAGCTGCTTAAATAAAGACAAAGAGGAAGCAAACTTGATATCAAGAGGAACAGACATCTGAGCACAGGATGCAACAAAAGTGATGGGGGTGGAGAACTTTGACTGGTATTTTAAAATACAACACATGTGGTGATGTGGGAGAGGGAGGTAAGAAAAGAGAAACCAGTGAAGGCGCAAAAGTACAGAAAGTCATGCACCTGACTATAGTTACTCAGAATCCTAATTCTGTTCAGTCGATTTTGCTCTCTGGTAAGCCAAGACTGAGCCAGGTCATTTTGCTGCTAGAGGCAAAAGAAAGAATGCCGCCCTCGGCAGCCCCCTTCCCTTAGTCATCACCTGAGGTGACTGCGTGGGGGGGGGGGCAGTTGAGTGAAAGGAGGCCAGAGAGGAGCAGATGGTGAGGGGTCGGAGGGGAGGAGGCAAAATGCTCCTCAGAGGCCAGATCCGCTGCCCCACCCAGCCTCATGGGTGGACTGGTCCTGCACTGGTCCTGGAACAGTGCTGGTCCTGGAACAGACCTGTTGAAATTAATGAACTTACCGTATTTTTTGCTCTATAAGACTCACCTTTTCCCTCCTAAAAAGTAAGAGGAAATGTGTGTGCGTCTTATGGAGCGAATGCAGGCTGCGCAGCTATCCCAGAAGCCAGAACAGCAAGAGGGATTGCTGCTTTCACTGCGCAGCGATCCCTCTTGCTGTTCTGGCTTCTGAGATTCAGAATATTTTTTTTCTTGTTTTCCTCCTCCAAAAACTAGGTGTGTCTTGTGGTCTGGTGCGTCTTATAGAGCGAATACGGTAACTAACTTAGGTTCATTCATTTGAATGGGTATACTCTGAGTAGGACTAGCACTGGTTACAACCCAAAGGACTGCAACCCTAGACACAAAGTAGCTGCAGTAGTTTATACTGGATAGAAGCAGTGAAGAGAAACTAACATATAATTGTTTAACTGGTATAGTTTTCAACCTTTCCTTTGATATGTTTCCTTTCATATCCAACTGCAACAGTTGTTGTGGCCAAAAGTCAATCAGCTGCATGATCACATGTTAAGACTGAATCAAGCAAATGGAGAACTCCCATGAGTAAAAGTAGTAGGTCAATGGTGGATGTAAGCTGGCACAGAAGACCAAGTCCTTTTGTCTAATTAAACATAAATCTGAGATTTCTCATGGAAATAAAATACTAGGATCTTTAGAGACAGGCTGAAGTCTTCTGATTTTAAGGGACTAAGCAGCTGACAGTGCATGTCTTCAATCTGTAATTATTGTGTTTTTTTAAAGTATCCTAGCATTACATTTGACACCACAGAATTAACAGTGATTTAAACTGAAAATCTACAAAGAAAGAGAGATAATGAAAGTTTTCTGAAAGCCTTTAACTTAAAAGATGGGTGCTTGGCTAAACATTAATGTTACCTTAAACAAAAGTTTACATTCTTTGGAACCTCTAATTATATTCTTATTGAATCAGTCTGAGAAAAAGATCACTTTTCATCAAGTTCCAGTAGAAGTTTATAGCAAATAAACAATCAGCACAGAGAATTAGGTATCATTCATTTTACCACCAACTCATTTATCTATGGTAACATATATTCCATGAACATCTAGGACCAGAAGATCTGAAAGCAGCCCATGAAGTCCCGTTTCTGAAGCTAAACAAATGTGGCTAGAGTGCAAATGGAAGAACCTGGCAGAAGCTGCCCTGAGTTCTGAGAAGGAAAGGCAAAAATACAGTATTTCACCACATAATCACCACAGATTTTACACTAAATTTGTGATGCAAAAAAGGGGGGTGACCATTATATGAGGCCCCCGCCTGCGCCATGTTCCATGCCAGACCTCCGGCAGCTGCTGCCCCAGGGGGGCTGTCTGGCTGCTCAGATTATTGCCCCTCCACCCTTGCCATCTTCATCCCAGACCACAGAGGTGGTGGCGGTGAGCAGCTTCTGGTCCTTGAGCCCACACCTGCCCTCTTGCTCACGTTCACCACCCCTTTCGTGGCAGCTGATTTGGAGACTGAGGGAGGGCTTATTCAGAAACCCCGTAAAGAATCCTCCACTCCACAGCTTCAGACCCAACCTCCACCTCCCTTCGCTTTCCTTTGTTTCCCACCCAAACCTGCTGCCTGGCCTCTGGGAGATGATTGATATGCACCTAGAGGTGCCTGAAGGTTCTGCTGGGAGCAGAGACAGACGAAAGGGTCATGGACAGGTGTTGGAGGTGGTTGCTCACCGGCTGCGTCCCCTTCTTGGGTGGCGTATCCCGGGACGCCAACGCAGAACCCTCCTCGTTCTTGTGCTGCTCTTCAGGCAAGGCAGAGCAGTCCTGCAGCAGTTCCTGGCCGTTTGCCACAAGCCCAGGGACGGCCTGGGAGCTTATGGCTGAGACGGCGAGGAACGAGGGGAGCGGGGTGGCAGCTGGGGGAGGAAAGGAATTTACCATGCCACTCAACCAATTTTTGGACCGAAAAAACAGAGTGTGGCGATTATGTGGTGGTGACAATTATGCAATGAATTATGGTACAACTTTCAGTCTTGGGAAATATAAGGTTAATTTACAGAAACTGACTAACATGTTTTTACACCCCACTGCCCCTTCCTCCTCCTTTCTTCCTGAACAGCAATCAGGGTTCACCTTTGTTTCGCCCCATCCAACATCCTGAAGAGACCACTGTGTCAATTTTCCAGGCAGAGACCTGTAAATGATGAACAAAGTCCTGGTTAACGGTCTTGGCTGGAGTTAGTGCCATGAAGTCCACACTGTTCAACTTCCTGCTAGCAAGGTAAAGAGAGATTGATGAAAGACTCAACTGTTGCTACAGCACATAAAAAGCCACCTGGCTATATTAATGCCCCCTCCCACCCTGCTAATTTATACTGACTTCACTGCCACATTCTGCATACTTTGGGTTTAATTCTGATGACAAAGATGAAACACAGAGATGCCAATCTAATTTGGCCTTCCTTGTAATCACCCAGAAATGTCAAGGCACAGACAGCAGTAAGGACCCCAAGGTACATCCTATAAGAAATAAAATGACTGCCTGCTCATAGAAGAATACTTCATGGGGAGGGGGAATGTGATTTTTACAGCAGCATGTGAAAGAGCAGGTGGTCTGATGTTTCAAGAAGGCAAGGAAACACCTAGCAAAAGATTTGAGTCACAGGATAGAACATTGTAAGTAAGAAGAAAATTGGAAACTGATCTGCTTACCAAGTAGTGTTCACAGATTTTGCCTGTGGCAAGTGACATGCTCTCCTTGAAATTCTGGATCTCCTAAGTCAAGAACAGGGTGTGCATTTTGCTTCACACATAACTAGAGAATCCTCAAGAGCAGAACTGTAAGTCACATGCTCTTCTGTGGCTTCTGCTGAGCTTTCAGGCCCAGTTTCAGAGCTTACCTCATGAACATGGTCTTATAACTGAAGTACGACTAATACCATCTTGAGCCAAACAGTTCCCACTTGGATTTCAGTAATCATGCTGAAATGCAAGCTTAAGAGGGGAACAGAAAAATGACAAGGAACAGGAAAAGATATAAAGGAAAATTATAGAAGCATGCAAGGGCATGACATTCTATGAACAGGAAAATGGCATCTGTGGTTTCTAGCAGTAAGACCATATCACAGGGCGTCTTGCCTATATATGACTACAAAAGGAGAGTGTAAACAGAGACTGAGGTTCCACCCTCTGATCGCTTTCCTGGTTGCTTGCTGTAACCTTTCCTGCTTGGGCAAGAAATAAAACTTTGCTTTTAGAGAGTTCCCAGGTGTCACTCCTCATTGCTAGTGAGTAAAGGACTCGGCTGTGCAATGGACCTTGGCTGGAGTTTCCTCGCATCAGTGGTAGCAAGCAGGCAACCAGGGAAAGACCAACAGAACGCATGATGATTAGGAGGCTCCCCTGGCACTTTTGGTGCCAGGAAAAAACATTCCTCTTCTCTCAAGCCTTTGGCTGATTAAAAAATCTAGGGGCTTTTAAACTGTGTGTGAGGAGGGTTATTGCTTTTGCTACTATGGTATGTATTTCTGGGTTATATTGTAATTCCTGTGATCCCTGAATGAAGAGTTGTATAGAAATGAAGAAGATGAGGAGGAGGAGGAGGAGGAGGAGGAGGAGGAAGAAGAAGAAGAAGCAGCAGCAGCAGCAGCAGCAGCAGCAGCTGCAGGTGGGGAAAAGCTGAATGACCATGATTCTGCAAGTCACAGGGCTATGCAGGATAAAAATGGGGTTTCCAAAGACTTTTAAAAGGATTGTGCTGGGTGCTTAAGCACTCCCTAAATGTTGTGCTGCTGCCACAAACTTGTTTGGTCCACTATACAAAAAACCCAGCAGCCTTGGACATTGTCAAATCTTTCATTCAGTTTGGGTTCAACAGCAAACTCCAACTCACATGGCATAGTAAGATATATACTAAGCCTGCAACATGCTGGACCTGAAAGGCATTTAAATCTGAGCTTGCATTTTAAGTATGACTAAGGGAGAAAACTTTGGGTGTGTATGTGTATGTCTGCCTACTGACAATAAAGCTTCACCACTGTTGGAGTGGGCAATGGCTTTTACATTTTTAAAAAGAAGTGGCTACTCTTTAACACATAGTGGATCTTGATTTTTCATGTTAAAAGATGCAAAAGAGTTCAGCAATAACAAATCCAGCATCAAGATTTTTAGTTCGGCTTAGCATGACTGAGCGAAAGGACAGGTTCTGTGAGTGAAGACTGAAGCTACAGCCTGACTTCTCTGGTCCTGGTGCTGCTGCTGCTGCTGCCCCACCCAGGGCTGTGCCCTCTTCAACCTGGGGCTTGTGATCTGTCTCACTCTGGACAAACCATGGGCTGTAACCATTTGTGGTTTGTCTGTGGGAAACAAACCATGAAGACAAGTTCAGGCATAATGCTAAGTTGGTTACACAGAATATTGATCTAGATAGGCCTTTGGTCTAATCACGTCATCAGCCTAGTAAAATGCCAAAGAGAAGAACTGTAGCTACACAATGGATGTGGAAAGGTTGAAAGGTTTTGAAGGAAATGACCTTAATAAAGAAATGATAGAAAAGCAGGAGAACAACTACATTTCCTCCTAGTAGATAATGGATACCTATAGGCTACATCCTACGTTGTCCTACTCACATAGGTGATGCAATTGATGTAAAATCCTTCTTGTCCAGTTCTTGATCAATCCTCCCCTCACTATCTCACTATCTCTCTCTCCCTCCCTCCCTCTTTCCATATTGCTGTCTATCAAACTCCTATTCATGTGCTCTTCTCTCTGGCTGGGTAACCATAAACTTCATTGCAGAATACAAAGTCTGCTAGAAAACTTAGAAATTAGGATATGCTGTGGAAATTAGAAGTGCTGTTTGAGAATCAGATGGGCAGAGGAACTTAGAAAGAGGCCAAATCTTCTGTTTGGATGATTGATGGCTTTGTCAATGCAATTACAACAGCAATCTTATAAGTACTATATTGCTATCTTATTTTGAATCAAAATGTAGTGATCTAGAGCAAAGTTCAGAATAGCATTATCTTCCATATGAAGAAATTATGTACTTTGAATGAAGCACCATACAACTGATTGATTTATTTCAGTTACAGTCTTAAATCTGTGGTCTTTATCACTGGTCATTCTTTATTCCCTGACTTTCTGGGTTGTTAATGTGTGACCCCTGATTAGATAACCATATTAAACACAAGACTGTTCTTTCTTGCCTTCTCTTGCATTGTTTTCCTGTGTAGGATTCACTCTGGGAAATGAATCAGTGGGACCTTCACGGTGGAACTATTCTGCCTCCTCCACATATTTTTAAAGAGGGACAGATAAGGGGTGTCAAAAAAAAAAGAAGGTTGTTGAAAACAAAACCCATACTTCTAACGTTATTCCCTGCCTATGTGCAAATCACACCTTAGAGATACCGGTTAGTTTAATCAGGAATCAGAATGAAGTCACCTGGTATTAATTCAGCTGCAATCAACATAGCCAATGGTCAGAGGTAGTGGGTGTTGCAGTTCAACAACATCTGGACTATATATATTTCCAACCCTGAATTATAGGAACCATCCTGTGTTATTGACCATCATTTTTAACCTATTAATTTGCATAGTTTACAAAAAACGCAGAGCTGTAGTTACAAGAAAAGGGATTTGTCTTTACTCTTGCATAATAGGATCATTTAAGCAATTTAAATATGGATTCCTTAAACCTTATGTTCTTATTGCATTTTAGAAGGCTTTTCTCAGATTAGCCCTATGACCAACTAAATTTAATCTTAAACTCAGAAAAAGACATTATAGTACTTTAATCCATAGTTAAGTGTCTTTGTAGAAGCTTTTGGGGTGTCGTTTCCTATTTAGTAACATTAGGTTTTTTAAAAGATGAAATAAATATGAGCTAAGCTCTAAAGGATCCTTTCCATTATCAAAGGTGCCCAGTGCCCCATTTGTATTCACAAAATTTTGCAATGCTGTGAGATAAGATCTAGCAACTATTCAGCCTTTCTTAATAAACCAATGCATCCATAGAGCTTAAACTTATATGGAAGGCCTAAACAACATGCTATGTTAATCACAGTTTTAATTTTAAATTCAGAAAGGCAAGCTTCATTTTGAAGGAAATGCAGCCCCCCCCCCCCAAATGGTACTTTCAGGAGCAAAGAGGCAGTCGGGGGAATTTGGAGGAGGAAATTGGTGCCAAGTGTTCTGATTTTAATCAACACCATACTGGGGCCCAGTGGCTGCTTTACCTTAAAAAGAAAGAGGGTGAATTAAAAACCCTTTAAAAAAATATTATTAAATTAACATGTGGTTTGACACACACTCTGCCGAAAAAGAGATAAAAGTTCAAAATAGAGGGCTCTGTGTAACCGCCCTGAGACCTACAGGTATGAGCGGTATATAAATTCAATAAAATAATAATAATAATAATAATAATAATAATAATAATAGGTGAAGTTTACTTTTTATACATGATATTCGATACATAACTTTTCACTTTAACTTCCAGGATAGTCAAGCTTATACAGAAGGAACCATTTAAAAAATGCAATAGGAGAACCAGAAGAGAGCCAGTATGGTATATCTGGGGCCAGGGATATCTTTGCCCAAATCCCTGTTAAAGCACAAAGTGCACTGGGTGACAATGAATACTAAGACATAAAACAACGTTTTTAAAAAATGGGACTGGGATTGCTTGGGAAAGCATGGAAAGCATTCAAAAGGTATATATTGTGAAGGGAACAAAACACAAGCTGGACTGATGTGATCAAACTCGTTGTCAGAACTTACAAAGTTCTTACTTCATCACCAAAAGCTTCACCCCCCCCCAAGCAGTGCCATTGGAGTGTTGGGTGGGGTGAAATTCTAGACCTGCAGCTTTCAATATGCAAAGTCCAGCTTCCCTCCCGGTCATTCTTGTTATATGGTGTCCTAAATAATAGTTGCAGGGACGCGGGTGGCACTGTGGGTAAAAGCCTCAGCGCCTAGGGCTTGCCGATCTAAAGGTCGACGGTTCGAATCCCCGCGGCGGGGTGCGCTCCCGTTGCTCGGTCCCAGCGCCTGCCAACCTAGCAGTTCGAAAGCATCCCCCAGGTGCAAGTAGATAAATAGGGACCACTTACTAGCGGGAAGGTAAACGGCGTTCCGTGTGCTGCGCTGGCTCGCCAGATGCAGCTTTGTCACGCTGGCCACGTGACCCGGAAAGTGTCTCTGGACAGCGCTGGCCCCTGGCCTCTTAAGTGAGATGGGCGCACAACCCCAGAGTCTGTCAAGACTGGCCCGTACGGGCAGGGGTACCTTTACCTTTACCTTTAAATAATAGTTGCAACAGTTTGGAGATAGTTTCACAGAAAGTCAGTTTCCCAGAAAGCCAGATGAGCCACAAGTAACAAGATGAAAGGAGAAGGAAATGAGCCAAAACTTGAAGAAACAGAATCAAGAGTAGCCAGAAAAAGATAAGGACAGTGACGGAAGCAGAAAGGAATAAAAGGAAACTGGATCATGAGTCTGGAAGGTCCTGAAATAAATTATTCCTAATGTCCAGAAACTGGGAAGTTCATGAGGTTGGAACAATGTCAAAAATATGCAATCTGCATGTGAGAAGAAAGTCTATACATGTAAATTCTCTATGCAGGCAGGGGGAGGGAAATCATCCAGCCAGCAACAGCAAACTCAGGATCTCCCACCCCTCAGGTGAGTAGGAGAAGCATGCCAGAGCAGAAAGTGGATCCCAAGACCAGAATTCTAGTCTCTGTGTGTAGGTGGATGGGTATATTATAGTCTCCAAAAAAGAGGAATAGATCAAAATATTCCCTTTCTGAATTCAAGGAGAAAAGACCAAGGGTGAAAAGAAGTGCAAAACATGTTTTCTTTTATGAACAAGGAGAAAAATGACACTGACCAGAAAAAGAAAGAAAGAATAACCAGGATGTAGTAAAGACAGAGGAAAACATACATAGAATCATAGAACTGTAGAGTTGGAAGGGACCCCTAGGGTCATCTAGTCCAACCCCTGCACCAGGAAACATGACAAAAGATATTTACACATTCCAATGTCATTTATGCACATATCATGGTAGAGAAAGATGAGTAGCTCTTAAAAAAGCTAGTTATCATATTTGAGAATTGATGTTACCTTGGCAGCCTATTAAAAAACAACTATAGTGCCCACCATTAAACTTGAGGATGAAATATGCACTCACATAATTTTATGTCCAGGAACATTAGAACAAACCAGTTTGAGAGTACACCTTGTGAAAGAAAAAAGAAATTGCCACAAATCAACATGGTTTAACAAATTATTATTGCAGACAGCAGAGACATTCTTGGTAAGGAATTGGTTCCAGCTAATTAAGGAAATGCAATTAATTTTGTTGTACTTTTAAGGTAGACCCGGTACAAGTTGTTGTTGCTGCTGAAGTGAAATGTGGATTAGACAGCGCTACTATAAAACATATAAGCAGCTGCCTAAAAGACTGCGTGCAAAAGGTATTAGGAATGGAAAGACAGTGAATAATGCTGGTCAGTGTTTTCATTAAGTGCTGCTGATAACACACTTTTAACATGAAACAGAAAGAGGGACTCTTAAGTCTCTTATCTCTTAAGTCTCTGAATTCTTAAAGACTGAAGAGCCAGCAGTGACTGAAAGAGAGTTAAATTCTTTTAGGCTACAATACCAGCATCACTCTTTGATATAGTAAAGGTAAAGGTACCCCTGCCCGTACGGGCCAGTCTTGACAGACTCTAGGGTTGTGCGCCCATCTCACTCAAGAGGCCGGGGGCCAGCGCTGTCCGAAGACACTTCCGGGTCACGTGGCCAGCGTGACATCGCTGCTCTGGCGAGCCAGAGCCGCACACGGAAACGCCGTTTACCTTCCCGCTAGTAAGCGCTCCCTATTTATCTACTTGCACCCGGGGGTGCTTTCGAACTGCTAGGTTGGCAGGCGCTGGGACCGAACAACGGGAGCGCACCCCGCCACGGAGATTCGAAACACCAACCTTTAGATCGGCAAGCCCTAGGCGCTGAGGTTTTACCCACAGCGCCACCCGCGTCCTACTCTTTGATATAGCAGAACTTATTTGTGAATAGACACGACTAGGGTTGCACTATCAGTGTAGAGTGCAATCCCTAGAGTAGCCATGCATCCTCATATTGCACATGGCCAAGGGCTTATACAGGCAGCAACAATTTTAGGTACATCCAGTTGATGCGCGACTGCCAACATGCGGGTCCTTTTGGACCTGGAAAGGGGCAGAACAGAACGGGGTGGATGGGGGTGGCACGCTTATATATGTTCTGCTGGTGTGTGTAGGAGCAGAACTCCTGTGCAAAATGATCACCACCTGTAGTAGCTTGACTTAACAGTGACTTGCCCTTGACTCCTCAGTTTTGTTTATGGCTGAGCCAATATTTGAGCAATATTATTCCCAGATCATGCTTTTAACATGCTTCAATATAGCTAGTAACAAACTGGCAGGAAACTTCCTTATATCTAATTTAATATTATCTACACTGAAAGCAGCTCTCTAGGGTTTCAGATAGGGTCTTTCTCAGTCATTCCTGAAGACTGAACCTGTAAACTTCTGCATACAAAGCACATGATCTGCCACCAAACTGGCAATTCTTGAAATATTGAGGATTGCAAGAGAAAACTAAAATCCTGTTACTATATGGTAAAAAAGGGAGGAAATACAAAGGTAGGTTTTACTGACAGAATAATGACTTATACATAATAGCATTAACAAAAAAATTCCTTCCAGTAGCACCTTAAAGACCAACTAAGTTAGTTCTTGGTATGAGCTTTCGTGTGCATGCACACTTCTTCAGATACACTGAAACAGAAGTTGCCAGATCCTTCTATATAGTGAGAAGGTGGGGAGGGGTATTACTCAGAAGGGTGGTGGGAATGGGTGATTGGCAGATAGCTGTGATGAGCCTGTTGACGACTCTTAACGACTGCAATAGGTCTTACAGGAAAAAGCAAGGGGTGAGAAGGTGAAAAATGGCTTTGTCATGTATAATGAGATAAGAATCCAATGTCTTTGTTCAGACCAGGTCTCTCCATGGTTTTAAGTTTGGTAATGAGTTGCAATTCAGCAGCTTCTCTTTCCAGTCTATTTCTATCTGTAACATAATAGCATTGTTAAGACTGCACTGATTATTGTTATGTAGTGTAGTTTCACCCTGGGCCAACAGGGGGATACTGTATATAGTTTTCACTCAGGTCTGTAGATAGTTTTCACTCAGGTCCGCGCCAGTTATTTTAGGCGGGAACTCTGGGCTGTTGTGGTTACAATGTTGACAGCCGGCTGCCTATAAATACAGGCCGGCTGAGCTGTTCGCAGTCAGTTCTATTCCAGCTTACCAGAATAAAGAGCTACTTGAAGAAATCGCTGTGCCGGCTGCTATGTCAACCCACGACTTAACACTGGCGACGAAGGTGGGATGGATGGACATCAGAGCACAGCCAGATGCGGCCAGCCTCTGAACTGAGCTGAATCACTGAGCTGAATCACAGAGCGAAATCACTGAGCGAAATCACTGGGCAGAACCAATTCAGAGCTGACTGTTCTGGCTAGAGCACTGTGTTCCATCCATCGCCCTTCACGCCGGCATCGGAATCATGGCTTCACTTGTGCCTCTACCGCCGTTTGCGCCAGCCTCTGAATCATGGGACTCCTACCTCGCTCGGTTCGACTGCTACCTCCAAGCCAACGAGCTGACAGCAGTATCAAAGGATCGGAAGCGGGGCCTATTCCTCAGCCTCTGTGGGCCTGAGGTGTTTGAGACGGCCCGAGCGTTGGTTGCGCCTGAAGCAGTCCAGGCAACACCATGGGACACGATCCAAGAGAAGCTCCGCAACCACTACGCACCAAAGCCGTCCAAGATTGCTGCCCGCCATGCGTTCTACCACCGGAACCAGGCAGAGGGGGAGTCAATCAACAACTACACCACCGCCCTGCGACAGGCTGCAATGCACTGTGAGTTCCGAGACTTAGACGATGCCCTGATGGATCGAATCGTCTGCGGGGTCCGGGACATCCATCTGCAACGGCGCCTCCTAGCCAAGCCAGACCTCACGCTACAGAAAGCCATTGAGGAGGCTGTGGCCTCAGAAGCTGCTGAACGCTCCGCCCAGGAGATCCGCAAGTCCAGCAGCCCGCGTCTTGCTAGGGAGCCAGTTCCGGTGCATCATGAAGAGGCCAGCAGTGATGAGGCATCCTCCAGTGAAGACGATGACGTGCACCAGACAAAGCGGGAGCGCAGGAAGTTCCAACAGAAGTCCAAGGGCCAACCGGAATGTGCTGGCTGCGGAGGCAACCATTCCCGTGCCAAGTGTCGATTCAGAGACGCCATCTGTAGGAAGTGTTCCAGAAGGGGCCACATCGCTAAGGTCTGCCGATCGGCTCCGTCTGACACCCCCCCTTCATCGACTCGCAAGTCCAAGTCTTCACTCCAGTCTGCCAAGGAAAGTTGTTTCGCTCTCACCAACTGCCGCTGCCCGTCTGGAACCACGATTGGTCAAACCGACTCGCCTACGCGACGCAAGCTGAACGTCACGGTGCTCATTGAAGGAGCTCCATGTGACATGGAGATCGACACCGGGTCTGCCCTGTCCATCGTGTCATGGAGCACCATCAAAAGACTGGTACCCAGAGTGTCCAAAAGGCAACTCGACTCTCACCGCGTACACCTGAGAGACTACCAGGGAAACGACATTCCCGTGGTAGGCGTTGGCCGGTTCCGGATCGCCTTCAAGGATTTTTCGGGCCTGCTCCGGTTGGTGGTGGTCGAAGGTCAGCGGCCAAGCCTCCTAGGGCTAGACTGGTTTGATGCCCTCGGCCTGGAAGTCACCGGCATCAACTGCATCTCTAACGCAGAGACTGAGGGTCTGGTCAAAGACTTTGCCGAGGTTTTTGACGGCACCTTGGGCCAATATACAGGTACGCCCATCTCCTTTAGCCTTGATCCACAAGTCGCCCCCATCAAGCTAAAGCCACGCCGGGTTCCCTTTGCTCTCAAGGCTAAGGTGGACGAACAACTGGACAAACTGATCGCCCAAGGAGTTTTGGAGCCGGTTGACCACGCAAAGTGGGAAACCCCCATCGTCACGCCTGTCAAGCCAGATGGGTCGGTGAGAATCTGCGCTGACTACAAGTGCACGATCAACAAGGCACTTCAGCAGCACGCTTATCCGGTTCCTGTTGTCCAACACCTGCTGCATTCCCTGGGTGAGGGTAAGGTCTTCGCTAAGCTGGACCTTGCCCAAGCCTATCAACAACTGCCAGTCGATGATGCCACTGCTGAAGCCCAGACGATCGTCACCCACCGGGGGGCATTCCGTTGCCGCCGGTTGCAGTTCGGGGTGAGTGTGGCTCCTGGCATCTTCCAAAGCCTTATGGAGCGTCTCCTGCAAGGGCTTCCGGGCGTGGTACCATATTTTGATGACGTCTTGGTGTCTGCAGACTCACACCAGCAGCTGTTCGAGCGCCTCCGTGCCGTGCTGACCAGGTTCCAGGAGGCCGGGCTCAAGGTAAAGAGGGAGAAGTGCCAGATCGCCGTTCCACAGGTAGAGTTCCTGGGCTATCTTATCGATGCCTCCGGTCTTCATCCAACCACATCCAAGATCCGCGCTATCCAGCAGGCCCCCACTCCAAAGAACAAAACGGAGTTGCAGGCGTTCCTGGGGCTGCTGAACTTTTATAACATGTTCCTGCCCCACAAAGCCACAGTGGCTGAGCCTCTTCACCGACTCCTTAGCACTAAGACGCCTTGGGCCTGGGGTCATCGGGAGACGGCGGCCTTCAACGCGGTCAAGGCTCTCCTTTCTTCAGACAGTGTGCTGGTACAGTACAGTGAATCCAGGCCGCTGGTCCTTGCCTGCGACGCCTCACCTTTTGGCATCGGTGCTGTCCTTAGTCACCGTTTTCCAGATGGAAGAGAAGCACCGCTCGCCTACTTTTCCAGGACACTATCTCCGACGGAACGGAATTACAGCCAGCTCGACAAGGAGGCATTGGCACTTGTGGCTGGAGTGAAGAGGTTCCATGAATACCTCTATGGCAGGACTTTTGACCTCATCACTGACCACAAGCCACTCCTGGGCCTCCTCGCCGGTGATCGTCCAACTCCACCGGTCCTCTCACCACGCATGCTGCGATGGACTGTTTTCCTGGCTGCCTACCACTACCGGCTCATCCACCGCCCGGGGAAATCGATGGGCCATGCCGACGCCCTCAGCCGTTGCCC